CAATTAGCCGTAGAAAGTTGATATTTTGTATATGGCACTGCTATAGCATCTAGTTGCGCACCTCCTTCTTTTATTGCATTTGGTAGAACCAGACATGTCTGTGTATATATATATATAGCAACAACTACAAAAAGAAATATTAAAAAATTTTTTTTTTTAATATTTCGTTTTATACTAATTGCTTTTAATTCAATCCTTTGCAGCTTAAGAGCAGGAATTTTTCAATTACATGTTTCTTATTTTCTTTTCATACTATATTACGCACACACACACACACACACACACACACACACACACACACACACACATATATATATATATATATATTATGTACATACTCACTCCCTTACTCGGCTTAAAAGTGATTACCCGGCCTTTATTTTCTCAATCATTCATTATAGATATTTACTTTCAATTACAAAAATGTTTTAAATGATGAAAATATTCATATTTTGGTAAAGTCAAATTTAAAAATAATTAATTTTCGACAAATAAATCTAACTACACGCATACTGACAGATTATATATGCAATTAGTCTAACAACAAATAATTTAACAATATTTAATATCAGCTTATTATTGTTGTAAATATCTAACAATATTTAATATCAGTTTATTATTGTTGTAAATATATAACAATATTTAATATCAGTTTATTATTGTTGTAAATATCTAGCAATATTTAATATCAGTTTATTATTGTTGTAAATATATAACAATATTTAATATCAGTTTATTGTTGCAACAAAAACTAAGTGTAATTTAGAAGGCCGGGCCAGGAAGTCGAATGGTGTCCACGTCAGATTTTTATTATTAACTATGGGAAAGCATACGAAGGTTTCTGTCTTGAGAGAAAGGTACCTAAGTGGAGGGCTTTCCACGGAGAACTGACTTGTACGTACGTTACGCATAAGGAACACGAGTCGCCCAGACGGTATAGTGATTAGATGAGCCTACTGCGATACCCAAGGACACGAGTTCGAATCCCGTGAAAGGCATGGATGTTTGCAAATGTATAGCGTTCGTGCGGCATCGGGGCACTCAAAATATGCGGCGAGTCGAAAGTGTTCTCAAGAGGTTTTGGTATTGAAAGAGGGGTAGGAGAACCTAGGGCCCGTCCCTCCCCTGGGGGCTCACCATTAAAATTGAAGTCGTACTGTCGCCTGCATAGTGCTCAGAGCTCTTGCCAACGACAAGTGTAATCTTGCACTTCTTGCCACGATTAATTTCGTGGACTTGTTCTGATGTTACAGTCAGACAAATGAGAGAAATCACAACAACACACAACATAAGGGCACGAAATTCTCATGCAGCCACCTACCGCGAAAACCGAATCTGGGAAAATAATCACTATTTTTGGGTGTAGTTTCCCCACCAATGATGATCCAGAGGTTTATGGAAAATTTTAACTGTCACTTACGAAGTATATTAAACATAACTATCTCTTCGAAATAAAATTGCAAGCTTAAATACGATATGTAATTACTTCCACATTCATGTGCAACTGACAAAGTTTGATAAGTGCGGTTCTAGAAGTTGATTTGCACAGCTTTAATCTTAGTACATATTTCATTTAATATAACTCGTTTTCGTGATTTCACTTTCGATGATTCTCAGTGCAAATTTCAAAGTTAATGGTTTCATTTCGTACAACGGAAGTATTTCATTTCATATAATCAATATACTAGTTATTGCCTAATTCACGTATGTCATTTCGTATAATATTTTCTTTTTGTATCATCTCAGCTCAAACGCCAATGTAATAATTTCAAGATTGATGGTTACATACTTTTGTTCGTTTGCATTTTTCTCATAGTGCACAGTATTATGGTCAAATTTATAAATATTATTTTTGTTTATAAATTCATTTTCACTTATTTTACATTTTCTTTAAATCTCATCTGAAGTTCAGTTGAAGTGTGACTCTGATATATAAGACAATGTATAACAGAAACGAACAATAGCACAAGTTAATTTTTAATGTGTAAGTAAATAAAAAATATTTTTATTTATTTATATTTTAGTAAAATATTTAATTGAAATTTACTTTTACAAACTATCAAATTCTGGAAAGTATTCAATACCATTATTTTATGTCAAGATGACCTTTAAACTGGAAAACTTTTTTTTACATTATTTTGTATGAACAAAGATTTCCTTCATAAAGGAAACCCCTTTTTTAATTTATAAAAAATTCGTTCGGTGCCTAAACTTCTTATTAGTACTGATAAACAACAAAGGATTTTGTAAATGATAATTTCGTGTACACTTTAAGCACAACAAAAAAGAAAGTTAATCAAAGTACAATGTTCTAATTTAGATTACTTTAAATAGTATTTTTTCAGAAATTCTAACGGAAAACAACTTAAGAATTATATACATAATCCGATAAAAAATATGATGCTCCTGAAATCTTATAAAATCCTTTAAAATTTGTAGAAATTCATGCCATAACAAAGTTGGCATCCTATTTGCGGGCACAAGTAAGATATTTATTTATTTATTTAGGAAGCAGTCAGACAAGTAAGATGTGTCTTTAAACACGTTTAGTATTCCTTGCCTTTTAATAGGGTTTGACTTTCTTTGGGAGCATAAAGTACTCCTAACAGACGTTAAGAGAATTATCGCTGTGTCTAAAATTTCTACATGGACTTGAAAAAGTTTAAAACAACCTTTTTATTAAAACATAACTTGAATATAAAGACACTTCTTATGCTCACTTGTAGCGATGAAACTAAAGAAACAGTCAAATTTAAAATTTAAAATTTAACCTAGTAGTCAAAGAATACACAGCTTAATTTAAATCTAAGTTGGCTCAGAACTTTTCACCGTCGTAGCAATTTAAATGACGGCAGCTATAACGCAAAGCTAAATTAATTAGAATCTTATCAGAGCTGTCAAAACTAAGTAATGTGGCCTCGAGAGGCAGAAACGCGTCCTGTTTTACAATCTCAAAGCCTCAACTTAAATGCTCTCTAACTGATTTTAGGCTGAAATTATAAGTATCTCATTAATGCAAAATAATAGTAACTGTACAGCCTAATTCCTTATTTTTTCATATAATGGTGGAGAACAAAATGCATCTTGAACACGTTATAAATTAAATTCTTTGAAGCAAGCAGCTTGCATGTATTAGAAATCCCTTATGCAAAAAGTGCCTTAAAACTACAACGAAGCAACATAAATCAAGTAAATAAACAAATAAAAATAGAAAACATATTTTATTCAAAGGTTATTTGTAAGGCAACTGAGCACATAAATATAACACGATTGTAGTGTAAGCCTATGTAGCAAAGTTATTGATTTTTCTTTACAGGCTGCTCCCGGCACTATTTTCTTTTGCTTTTTTTTTTCGCGTAAGAAAGGTCTTAAACCAGCTGCGAATATTTCCTACAGATAGTATTATCCAAAGACTGATGTTTCTTTATTCCGGCCTTTCTCTATATGGATGGCTGTTATTAGCTATTAGAGTCTCAATATTGAGCTTGACCGTTTCTAGTGCAAATGAATTCTGCACTGCACCAGTGCTTAGTACTTGCTCTGTTTTCTTTTTAACATCAGAATGAAAATGTGTCTCAAACATTTAAGCCACTTCGTCATGTGGAAGATTCTGCAAACACCCAAAGAAAAGGAAATATTTCCAACATTTTTAATACAGTTTAAATTCAAAGTGGGGAGATATACGATTTTATGAAAGTCCCTTTGGTAAATATTTCAGTAGTAAGAAATCCTATGAAAAATGACTTGTGTGAGCTTTGCCAAAATAAAGAAATTTGATTGAATCCTCTTGTTTGTTAAAACATTATACAAGTACTATTGGCTGCTGGATGCTCAAGTAAGAAACTGAATTTTGCACTATCATGAGTAACACTGGTTGAAATTTTTCGAAGTACCATTAATGTAATGAGAAAGAAGAAATGAGAAGAATGTGTAGAGACATTAGGTATTTTTAGGCAGGAGAGCAGGACATTAGGCAAAAATGAGCAATGCCCTCGCCGGAACTCGAACCACGGACCTCTCGAATACGCACCGAGTGTGCTGACCATTACACCACGAAGGCATGCTAAGAATGGGGGAGAAATACATTATATATGTAATGGAATTGTAATGAGAAGGGAAGAAATCTCAGATAACTAACAGTTAATGATATACACATACAAATGAAGAGTGGCGCAATTTAACTAAAGGAAGTTGCACAGTAAACTGAAAACGAATCAAGTGAGGAAATGGAGCAATCGAGAGACAGGTAACAGACTGATAACAAATATTGTTGTAACTTTACCGCAACACGTATGAATCATTATTTTTTTGTTTGGACTGCCAATGCCGCTATCTAGGTGCACTTCATAGCACACAAAAAATTAAAAATTTATAATTAAAAAATTGGGACTAGTATAAATAAAAATCGGTTGCTTTTTTTAATTATCAATCAAATATATTATATGGAAAAAAGAGTCTGTAGAATTGTATTAAGTACAATAAATTGGTGTAAGAAATTGACAGTTCCTAAATTTTAGTATGCTTACGAGAATAATCAGTTAAGGTAGTTAAAGTTCTTAATTATAAAATCTAAATTCATAGGCAAAACTTAAAGACTTGTGGAGACAAAATTCTAATCAGTAAGAATCTATAGACACTCAAGACCAATCACTAAAGAAAAATTAAATAAACACAAACAGTAAGTAAAGTTAGTAAAAAGAAATATTTACAAAATCTCAAACATGACTTATATCAATAAAATTCACATATATACAAGAAAAATTAAATTAGTTGCTATCTTTAAAGAATCAAGGAAATGGCGTAGAGACAAAATTATAATCCGTAAGAATCCATATACAAGCAAGAAAAATCATTAAAAAAGAATTAAATAAACACAAAGTGAAGTTAGTAAAAAAAAGTATTAGCAAAATCTCATACACGACTTCTATCAATCAAAATCGCATATACACAACAAAAATTAAATTAGTTGTTTTAATTAAACAATCAAAAAAAATACGTACACGAAAATTAAAATGATTAAATTGAGATAATGCATGGAAAGCATAGACCCAAGCACGAAAAGTTGTTAAGAAAACTTAAACAGGTGCCTTAAGAACCTACATTTCAAAGTATATGCAAGAAACTGATATTAGAAGACTTTAAAGATCAAAATATGCGCGGAGAAAATCATAAGTTCTCAGTTTAAATCAATAATATTAAACTGCATGTTTCCGACTTTCTCTTGACGTCATAATGGGATAAACAAAACTTATCGTCGATGAGGTAACGATTTTCATCATTATCTCTTAGATAATGCGATAAAGCGATAATGTAATTTTTTATTCTTGCCGTGTAAATCTCCCGTGCTTCTCCCAAGATACATATATTATATATATATATATATATATATATATATATATATATATATGTATCTGTACAATAATTTCTCTGAGTAGGCTCTTCGAGATAGTAATCTCTAGTTTTCATATTTTAATAGTCTTTTTTTCCTCATAATATGCTTTTACCAAAAGACTCCCCTACCCCAGTCTTTCAAAATTAGGAAAGAGTACATTTTAGCTTTCAAGCCAATGAATTTAACTGAAGGCTAGTTATTGAAATCATTCTTGACGAAACACATATTTGTTTATTCACTTCACTGAACAATGGCTGATCCTTCAAATAACGCAAAATACTGTACATTCAGTGATGTTAATGTCTATCATTATAGACCTAGAAGTATTTGTGTGACGTGAAAGAAAATCTACTTCCGTAAGCAAAATTTTGCTGTAATTTCACATTATTTGCAATTACGATAATTCAAGATCCATCCCATTTTTACTCGTAAAAAGAAGGGATGTGTATTGTAACTGTATCTGAAGGCATGGATGTCTGTAAATGTATAGTATTGTGGAAGGTTTTAAAAATTCATCCAGCTAAAAGTCACCTTGAAAGTTTAGTAATAGCGAATAAGACATCCTCGAGTTCTGTCCTTTAAGTTGTTCGTCACCAAAATTATGATGAAGCTGAGCAAAAGTCATACTACCATACCACTAATAAGATCCTCAACATGTTGACCAAAGACAGGTATTCCCTTCCTCTTGGCCAGGGGAATTCGCGGTGTTGATCTACACTCTAATGTAGATCAAAAGGATAAGTAACATCAACAAACAACAACAGCCGCTCAACCAGTACAGTGGTTAGCGACGCTGACTGCCGTACCGAAGCGCCCGGATTCGAATCCCTGAAAAGCCATGCATGTTTGTAAATGTAGAGTCTACGCTGCATGAAGACACTCTAAACATGCGGTGAGTCGAAAGTCGTCTTGAGAGGAGAAGAGGGCTGGGAGACCCTCGGACTCGTTCCCTGGGGCGCTCTTCATCAAAATTAATGGCGGTATTGAGCAAAAGTCGTACTGTCACCTGTACGGGGCTCAAGGCTCTTGCTAACGACGGGCGCAATCTAGCACTCCTTGCCAGGATGAATTTCGTGGGCTGTGGGCTTGGGCTGATGCTACAGTCAGACAAGTGAGATAAGTCACTACAACTACAACAACATGGTGGCTTTTTTTCCGAGTTTTTAATTTTCCCCCGTCATAATAACCAAGGCGCTCTTCAGAAAAGAAAATCAGCTTAATGCGCTTGTCCGTCAGGAATTAACTGGTTCATTTTAACAGATGAACTCTATTGCAAAAAAGATAAATTATTCTCCAATTTTTCAACAAGCTGCGGTCTCAGATATCTGGAAAAACAACTATGTTTTGATTATTCTCTGCTTTGAGAAAATTCGTTAGAGAAATAGCATACCTCTGAGTTCGTTATTTTAAGAAACATGTGTCGTGTGGGCCCATGTTTCTGAGCTTATTGTGCTCGTAAGATTCCATGTTAGACATGAATGTGGTGCAGTGAAAGGTTCTTTTTTTCTAAAAAATATTTCTGAACCATCAGCTCAAGTTTCTGCGATGAGACGTTTTATTACACTTGAAGTTATCTGCTTGATTAAACTCCTTTTACTCATATTACATTTAAAAGCAAGCACTTTTATGAGTTCTTATGTCTACTTAAATTACTTTATCTTGGAAAAGTGAACATTCAGCATACGTTCTGAGATGAAACGCTTCATGGCATTTCAAATTATCAAACAGCGAATCTTCTCGAGCGTGCGGTGTATTTAAAAATACTTTATTTAGTTTTTATATACCTATTCTTAACTTGTTATGAGAAAAATTATGTAAACATTCAACCCAAGTAAAAAAATCTTTGTATGAAGTCACAGATTATCAACTCATTGAAGAATGCCCTGTATTTGAAAAAAATATACTTTAGTAACTTCTTCCGTACCTGTCAATTCGTCGAACACATGACATTTTGCACTTTTCATAGTGAGAAAATTTGATTTGGTTTATTTGATTATGGTAAAGAATGTGAGGGCTATATGCTAACAGGAGGGATGCCTTAGTGGAGGACTTTCTGATGGAAACTGGTTTGTATCCACATAACATATGGGAGAACAACAAAAATGCCATGTAACCAACCCGTTCGCCCGGAATCGAATCCAAGTCCAACTACCAGTGTTTAGCGAATTTACGACTCGGCCGCTGAAGGGCTCATAGGGAGAAAGATACTTTCTCTTGTGAATTTTTAAAGCACAGATAGCACTGACTTACTTTTGAGGTGAAATTTTTAATACAGGGGGAGCACCTCTTGAAAAAATTAAAAGGACATCTTATTAGAGGAACTTAAATGGTGTGTATCGGATCTAACTTATAAACTAATGTTTAATAATTCAATAAATAGCCAAAAAAAATCAGAATTAAACCTAAAAAATATATGTAGTAAAGGAATAGGGAATAAACTATTCCGATTTTTTAAATCTCTCTTCAATACATTTCAAAAACATTTTTCGATAGTAATCCTAAACATTTACCATTCTGACAAAATATATAAAATCTGTTCAGCATTTCGTAAAATTGATTTAGGAATAAAAGCAGGTTCTGACAAAGACTATTACGCTAACTTTTAAAGCAAGAATATCATAATATTATCGTAAGCTTTAAGAGTTGTCCCTTAAAAATCTAAATAAAAATTAACTAGTATTTTAACAAAATGAGACCTATTTCTTTGTGTGCAGAAGCAATAATACAATCAATCATAATACCTTGGATAAATGAGGATTTCGAAGTGATTTTTTTAATAGAACAAAAGCAGCAGAAAAAGAATGTACGTTAAAAAGAGTATAATGTGACACAATGTGCACAAATCACTATTAAAAGGCTTTCAAGTAACTCACTCTACACTAAAAGGGTCACTATTAAAAAGGTTATAAGTAACAGTACATCTACACTCTTAAACTACTCAGCATACCCTTTTGGCTAATCAGAAAGCTTGGCTAATCAAAAATCAGAAAGCAAAATCAGAAATTTAGGATAACTAATGCTGTTATCCAAAATTTGATGGGAGCAAATTTTTTATTCTGATGATTACCTAACTGATTTATGCCAGTTATAAACAAACGGATTCAAAATCAATTGCAATATTATCGGCAATATCATAACGTGGTAAACTGTTTCAATTTTAAATTAATAAACTATACGTTTTTGCATGATATATTATTTTATACAAAATTCACTTGTTAACCTCTTCTTCCTCTTACATTTTTACTGAATTTCAATTTTTATTATACAGACCAATAAGAAATAATTTAGAAATTTTGATTTCATACAAATTTTATTGACTTTAAAATATTTGAAGGACATTTTTGGAATTCAACTTTAATACTTCAAACTTGCATCTATTTTAAGAACGTATTTTCAAATGAAGTTTTTTTTAACTGAATTTCATGAATGATTTGAAAAATAAATTTCTCAGTCTAGGTACTTTGAGCATCGTCCTGGTAATCAGAATTTAGTAGTTTTCACTGACATATGATAACCTGTTTTTTTTTTTTTTTTCAGCATTACATGTATTCCGCTGAGAACAAGCTGTTCGAAATTTTGAGGTATAGTTAAGAGTTTGTATGCATCTTTAAAAATATTTTCAAACTATTTGGTAATGAACCAAGTACTTACAAAAATTTGATTCCATCTAAGGTGTTAAAATATGTGGCAAAAACTTCTAGTGCCACATTTACTACAAAATATTTCAGTTATTTTAAAATATTCTGACCAAGGTAGAGAATATCTGAATATTTCGTAAAATCTTACATCTTAATGGGTTAGATTAGATTGATTATATAAAAGCAAACGAAGGCTATCTGTCTAAAAGAAGGGATGCGTTTGTGAAGATTTTCTGGGGTTATTTGAATATGAAAAAGCACACGAGGGTTAGCTGCTTATGGTGAAGGACAACTTGGAATATTCTAGAGTAAGCTGTCTCGTATTCGTGTGAAACACTTGGAGCAAAGCCACGAAAATCAACCAACCAGCTACTTCTCCTGCGTTCGAATCGGGCCTTACTAGAAATATTCAGCGGTCTTAAGCACATGGTCATTACCAGAGCTGAGATTTTCCACGAGAAGCCGTTCTATATTCTCGTTAACTATAAGAAAAACGACAAAATATCCCATACAGACCGTTAGTTCGGATTTGAAAGCTGGTCAAACTGCTTTCAGTGTACCGTAATTTTACCCCTCGGCTATCAATGGCTACTAACTCTTGCCCTTCATCTTTTCTCTTACCGCAGCTTATAAAAGGAGATTAAACCAAGGTCGAACTTCCAGCGGTCAATGATTTTTTATCCATCTGACCGCTGGTGGGGGTTGCCTAATTATTTGACTATGCATATATATATATATATATATATATAAGTTTTTTTGTTAATATTCAAAAAGTTTCGTGTACAGTTTCAATTGTCTGTTTTGACGAAACGCGATATGAAATTATCGGATTTGAAAATATATAAATTTTCCCTGAAGAGTCAGTAATGAGATTCGAATTGGGCTAATTTACCTTTGCCCCTTTTTATTTTTTTTATTTTTGCTTATGTCTTATGTCACACTTTTATTCTATTTTTAAAGCTTGCTTACACTGATCAACATGTAACTTCCAATTAGATTTGAGTTTTTAATACGCTTTTTATTTGTAAATATCTAGTGATAATATTGTATATTCAGTATTTACACTTTTCATGCACTTTATTTTACTTATTGAAAAATTTTTTCACT